TCTCTCACTAGGCATTCAAGTGTTAAATTCCAGAGCCATTTTCGTTTGAATACTAGACACCTAACCTGCCAACCCATTCGATGAGCAAAGTTCGTGACTACTTTTGGGGCATGGCTCATGGCACACCACATCGGGAAAAGCATTCCCACACCGCTGCTAGTCTGCCTGAAAATTGACAAGAAAGGTCTACCAGAGAAACATGGGCTTACCCTCTACAGTGATGACATGACCGTTGGTAGGGTTACTGGTATATGTGTTTTGCTATCCTTCACCATTCTTTGTGATCTGTGTGCGTTTGTTATTGGTATGTACATGCGTCCATCCTTCATCATCCGGTGTGATGTTGGCACGTGTGTTACTTGTTTGTATACACGTCCATCCTTGACCATTCTTCGAGGAAACACAGTCTGTCTGTACCAGTGGCCAATGCGGATTCTGACTCATGTTAGGGCATGGCATCGAGCATGAGTTCTCAAGACGTGCCGTGGCAAATCCGTCAAACGCTGAACCAAAGTGAATTCTCAGGATTGGCCATGGGTCCAGAAATTGAATTCTCATGGCAATGGGTTTCTTTCTCGCAGGAGCCAGTCGCACCCGACGCCCGACGTGCCCGACGCGCGCCCGACGTCGGGCGCGCCCTGCGTCGGGCGCACGCGCCTGACGCACCCCCTGACGCACCCCCTGACGCACCCCATGGACGCGCTTCCTGATGATGACGCACCCCCTGACGCACCCCATGGACGCACTTCCTGATGATGACGCACCCCCCCTGACGCACCCTGACGCACCCTGACGCACCCCCTGGCGCACCTTGCCTGTCTTCTTTTTTTGTCTCGCGCCATCCCCACGCGACCCCCTCGCACTCCCCAGGCAATCCCCCTCGCGCAACCACACGCGCACACTCGGTGGTCCTGCTCTTCTCTAGCCTGAGTCGAGGCATCAGCCAAGTGTGTTTCTCCAGGAGCAGTGCCACACCCACCCTGAGAACTCAATTTCTGGGGCTAGGCCGCCGACAGGGCTGACACCCCAACTCAGGGGTGCCAGGTGAGAATTCATTTTTCAGGGCAGCGGTGCCTTGTGAGTTTTGGGACCCTGGAAATCCGGAGAAGTCAATTTTGGGAGCTTGGTGGCCACAGCCATCCCTGAGAATTCATTTTTTGTCAAGACAGCCACATGTACTTCGGGCAGCCATTTTTGGGAGCTCCTGAGAATTCTTTTTTTGTGTGCGAGGGCGGCCCCTGAGAATTCATTTGCTTGGTGCCAGGGTGCCAGGCGCCAGCCCTGATTTGGGTTTGGGTGTCATGAGGATTGGTTTAGCCATGGTGCTAGGGTGGCCGCGTTAATCCTGAGAATTCATTGGTTTGGTGCCAGGTGCCGGGTCACAGCCATCCTGAGAATTCTTTTTTTTGGCGCCAGGGCGGCACAAGAGTCCTGAGAATTCATTCGTTTGGCGCCAGGTGCCGGGTGCCAACCTCAACTTGGGCGTCATGCGGATTTGCTTAGCCATCCTGGGGGCCATTTTTGCCACAGCAAATCCTGAGAATTCCTTTGTTTGGCGCCCTAATTCAAGCGGCGCGGGTTTGCTGACACCAGCCAGGACCAACTCCCAACCCAATCGGCCCGAGGTCTGTGGGCCTGGCAGCTGGACGTCGGGCGCCTTGGAGCAGGCACGATGGCTGGAGCGAAATTGGAGCACAATAGCTTGACTGCGCGCGGCTGGAATGTGCTCCAGCTGGACATGCGCGCACTGGCGCTCGGTTTTCACCAACCGCCTGAACCCCAAGCGTTTGTGTCTCAAGCCTTCATTATGAAGCGAAGCCCCAACTCCCCAAAGTCCCCAAGGTCCCCAGCCACTTGTCGGCTGGCTAGCGCATGACCAATCGCCACGTGCTTCGGGGCAAGTGTGAGTGAAACGGATTTCGATCAAGGGAGTGATCTTGAGCATAGTCACGCGGCTCCCTGATCCAATTGAGAGGGACCCTCTCATAGCGCCGCGCCTCCACCAAATCTTTGAGCGCTGCAGCCGCCTCGGTGAAGCCGGCATCCTCAGCAAACGACGCCAGCGTGAGGTAGCTCTCTATCAAATTTTTGGGCAAGGCTTTGCGCTCCACCAGTTGGCTGGGAAGGACTTCCCGGATGGCAGAGACATGCTGTTTTTGCAAGCATTGCAGAGGTGCTTGCTGCGGCTGCATGTCCGACATGTACGCCTTCAGGCAGAGCATGACGTTGCTGGAGGCTGCGCACCACCGGTCCTCTGTGCCAAGCTGCAAGTCATTCTCCCACAGGTCGCTGCGTGCTCTGAAGCTCCAAGAGTGTGGGGAGTCCACGCCTTGCCGGTTCATGAACGCGTTGTGCCACTGGAGAGGACCGGCCAGAAGCTCTCCAACCCAGCTCTTCCAGTCGCGAATGCCATTCAACAGCCTGGCGTGAACGCATTCCTGTCAGGGTGAAACTGGAGTCAAGTTAGGTTTTGAGAGCCGTCCCAGCCGAGCTTGCCCCTGCGCCTGCCATTTCTCCAGCTTTGCCTCCAGCTTGCCCTTGACGTACGTCAAGACATCCATAGGGTTGTTGAATTGCACAAGGTCCAGCAGCCATGATGTGACACAGCCAAACCTAGACCAGCGCAGCCAGAGTCAAGTCATCTTTGCTAGGCTATTTGACAGCCAAGGCTCAATTGATCACAGTCCTCATGAGTGTGCCCGACAGTGAGGAAGTTGACCGTCACTGTCCGAAACAACCTCAGCAACACCCATGCAGCGCAGACTGCCATGACCTCTTTGTTCTTCGCTTGTGCCACTGTGTTGTCAGACTGGATCAGCAGATGGTCCGGCAAGGGCTGCCCCCGCTCGCGGCAAATGCGTGCGACGTCCTCAATTGTCCTGGACCTCAGGCACCCAGAAAGGGGGGAGGCGTTATGTGGGTGCCATGTAACGGAAAGCCAAGGCTGCGGCAAAACTTCAATGAAGTGGCTGCCGCCATGAAACTGCGTCTCTTCGCTCGCAAAGAGGTTGTAGCAGTATCCGTGGGCAAGCGCAGCAGTGAACACTAGCTTTGGGCGGACACACTGCTCCACAGCCTTTGGCAGGCGTGCGGTGGGCCATCTTGGATAAGCGAATTTGGTCTTATCCATGGAGTCGATATTGATGCAGAGGACGTTCTTGCCCGTGCTCGAGGACCACCGTAGCGACCAGTAGATGCAGCGGTCAAGGTATTGCCTTGCGTGGTGCGCGCGGAGTTCTCTGGCAGCGTCCAAGCGCTCTGCCCATGAGCTCTTCGCATTCTCCATAGAGCGCTGCAGTTGCCAGCAGATCGTGCACTGCGCACGCTGGCTTCTCTTTCTGATGCGGAGGTAGCGCCGCCAGTGCTTCCAGCGGCGGCAAAAGGTGCGGTAAGATGGAGGGCCGGGGGTAGCTGGCCTGACTGCGCCAGCAGGCAGGTGCTCCTGCAGTGTCGCCCAGCTCGCAGTGAAAAGCCAGTATAAGTTGTGCAAGGTTGTGTGCTGCAGGTACCTCACAGGCAGACCTAAGGTGGGGCGCTGGGACGCCACAGTCCACGCAGACAGGCGGTCAACGACTGGATGGTCGGGGTTCCACCGCAAAACAGCGCTGCAGCCCTCCTGATCCCCACGATCCCCATCGTCCCCACTGCGGCCATCTTGCAAGCCATGGTGCGATGGGCCAGCCCATCCAAGCCTGAGCTCTTCTGGCCGGAACTCGTCAGAACTGCCCGCCTCTGCCTCGGACAACTGGCTCTGAACTACGTCTCCGGGGCGCAGCCAAGGCTCATCCAGCCAAAAGTGTGAAGCAGCTCCTGGCTTCAGCTTCTTCCGGCTCTTGGGGTGGTCAGGTAAAGGCTTTGCAGCACTGTTATACATCTCCCAGAACCACCAATCCACTGCCACTGAGGTCTGCGACGCCAAGTTGCCCCGTGACGACAAGGAGCCAGTGCGCCTGTCAGGCTGCCCATAAATTTGCTTCCAGATTGACGACTGAGAGGTCCCGAGAATGCAGGCAAAATTGGACAAGCAAACACGTTGGCCGCACAGGTGCCACTGCCGCTTACTGTGTGACTCACCACTGTCTGGGTCGTCACTTCCAAGGCCCTGCGCTGGATCTACCCCCTGCGCGGCTGTGTAATACACTGAACGCAGCATGTGGGCACGCTCATGGTCTTCCATTGCCCAGAAGGCCCGGCATACTGCCACTGCACGGCGGAACTGAGACCTGTGTGGCACTGTCGGCGGCACCTGCATTGAGCTTGTGGGTCACTCAAGATTTCGTAAATGCGGTCGGGGTCGGAGCCATTTCTCTGATAGGCCGTGCCATTCTCAGGGTTAACTCTTTGTGCTTGCAGACTTGGGGCGCCTGGCTGGCCTGGGCACCAATTGGACTCATCCAGACTTGCGTGGAGGGTTGGCTGCGCAGGCCTTGGCTTGCTGAGAGCTGGCAACAGTTCATGCTCTGGAGCTTCCCAGGAGCTTGGCACAAACTCATTCGCTGCCTGAGAAGCTGCTCCTGGCTGCCCATGACCCTGGCAAGACTGGGCTCTGCGAAGCCTCTTGCGCGAGCGGCTGCTTGCAAGAGAGGATTTACCTGCATCCTGCCAGTCGCATGGCGCAAACTCATTTGGCACACCTGCTTCCACGGCAGCTTCCCATGCCAGTGGCTGAAACTCTGTGGCCCCATCGCTGGGCCAGAGCCCTGCCAGTGGCGTGGCAGCATGCATTCTTGTTTTTGCAAATCTCTCAGCATCAAGTTGAGCCGCAAAGAGTGCGCGGAGATAGCTTGTTGCCAACTGCACTGCTACTCCAGCAAACAAAAAGCCTGAGCAAATAATTTCACCCCACGCAAACCACAGTCTAGGTAGATCAGAGTGATGGCAGCTTTTCTGCCAGACACACCTAGGCTAAAGATATGACATGACAGTCAGGGCGGCCAGGATCCCCCAAGCAGCCCTGCCATGTTCATGGCGCCCCATATCCCCATCAGCTTCTTCGAGCTTCAGCGCTGCCACGCGCCTGGGTTGAACTCGTCTGGGTCTGAGGACTGATCGTCAGAGCTTGCGCTGGCCTCCATCTCGCTATCCGAGTCGCTGGTGTACGTGTAGCTGTCGTCATCCTTCTGGTGATCATTGGCCCACTGCCATGCCTTCACAAGCATCTCTCCCAATTGCTTTGGATAGCTGGCAGACGCTGACAAACCTGGAGTGCCAGACACGCCCGAGGCTTCTAGTTTCATCTGGCCATTGGGGCAGCGGCAGCGCCTGGCTGCTCTCCAAATCCAATTGCCTGCCAAGCTCCCGGGGCCATAGGCTAGAAACTTGTAAGGCTTTAGCCAACGCTCGCCAGCTGGTGCATTTGAGTACGCACATCTGTGCACGATGCATTTGACAGCCCCTGGCACTACTTCCAGCCAGGTCTTCAAATAGCTGAAAATGCAGCTGCCTGACGGGTTTTCCAGCACCACATACCGGCCACGCGCAACCGCCACCGCCAGCAGGAAGGCTGCTGCTCTTGCCATGTCATTGCCTGCCTGGACCGGGCCATAAGTTTCATCTCCAGCTAAGCGCCGCTTCTTCCGAAGCGTTCGGGAACTGTTTGGGAAGACAAAGCTGGAGCAATCTGGGGCCATGACGAGTAGCCCACCCACAGGGAGGGCCAGGACGCACGCCAATGATAGTGTGAATCCACGCCTAGTAAGAATGTCATGATCTTCGGACCGCAAGATGTCCATGGCTTCACTGGTGAAGCCTCGATGTTGCGCAGCGGCCGCCACTGAGCCGACGCCTGCCCACAGCTCCAACACGTCTGGCTGCCTCAAAACAAGCCAATGTCATGCGTACGAAGACATGCAAACAGCCAAATTGGGACGGCTTGCAGCCCAGCAGCAATGTGGGGTCTTGAAGGCTTGGATCCGTCAAGGCTTCGATGAGGCTGATCCCAAAAATGGTGAGGGTAAAGCCAGCCACCCACGATGGCAAGCCAGCATTCTTGGCACGACCTGGAACAGACTCGCCACACATGCGTGACTGTGCCATGCGAGGCTCCCCAACAATCCCCAAGTCCCCACCACCAGCCAAAACTGCGGGATCTGGCAAACGAAATGTCGTGCAATTCTGGTGTTGCATCACCGGCCACGGTTTACACTCACACTCACTGCTGGCGACCCATTTTTTAGATCTGCGAATCACTCAGTCTATGCGTTTGCCTGCCTTGCCACCCTGACGGTTCCTTGGGGTGATTTAATGGTGATGTGTGAGGTGTTGAGAGTCCCGAATGTCCCCAGAATCCCCAAGGTCCCTGGGGTTCAAAATGGCTACGGCCGCCTTGCCAATGTGAGGACAGTGTGCCCTGGACAACTGTTCACTTGCCTGACGAGCCTACTTGTCAGATGTCGCCTTGCGCGATCTCTTGGGCGTGACTGGCGGGTTCTTGGGCGTGAGTCGGCGGCGTTTCTTGCCTTTCTTCGGTTCCTCTCCAACCCCCGCATCACTTCCCGGCTCAGAGTCCTCATCCTTGGCCACTTTGATGTTGCGATTCTGGTTCAGGGCCAGGCAGTACAAGGAGCCAGCGACCAGGGCGATGGGCTGTGTCAGGTGGACACCTGGGAATCCAAGCTCGATGGTGTTGTTATCGGGGTTGAAGCTGACCCGAGGCAAAAGCTTGATGCGGTCTGCAGCCATCAAGACTGGCAGGGTAGCATAGGCGCCGAAGTTCTGCAGGCTCGGCTTTCCTTGCTTGCCTCGTGCCAGGACAGCTCCCTCGAAGGCGCAAGCCCCTGTGGGCGACACAATGAACTCTGTGCTGCCCTCCTTGCGAGCAATGGTGTGGCCCATCAGCTTCGTGTGGACAAAATTGCGCTGGGCAAGCTCCTGCACGTACTTCTGGAGCTGCACCGGCGCCGTCGGCATGTCAGCGAGAGTCGGCGCGGCCTTCCGGACAGCGTCCTCGGGAACCACCACAGCCTCAGCGCTCAGCTTCACGGCGAAGACTTGGCCAGGCTCCTGCATCGCCTGGTCTGCTTTCTCCCGACAACCACTTGCCCTTGACAGAGAACAACGGCAAGTCGCTCGTGAGCATCTGGTCTTCCGTGGCTGTCACGAAGAGGTCGCCGCACAGGTTGGACACCAAGGTGAGCCTGTCGCAGCACTGCGTTTCTCAAAAAAATACGACGCAAAATCAGTAACACATAGGAGGACGGAGCTTGCCGCCAGGCGACGTCTTGGTAGCCTTAACTTCGAAGACCTTCCCGTCCGGCATGTCAGCAATGGACTTTGGCTGCTGCGGTAGGTCTGGAAGAGCCTTGGTGCGGTCGAACGGCAGGCCCACCTCAGCCTGCTTGGGTGTGGCTGCCTCGTGTTTTGCAGCTGCTGCATAAGCTGTGCCTGAAGGGTTCACCAGCTTGTTGTGCTGCTGCACCAGGTCCTCAATGTCCCCAACCATGCTGGGCAGGTCAGCTTTCCACTTGCTGATCTCCTGTGCCAAGATTGGCAGCTCCCACTGCTTCTTGGCTTGGCGGGGTACGCAGTACTGGATCTTTGTGGGCATTGGGGGCCTGCTTGAGGCATCCTCAGCATCTACGCTGCCTGTGATTGCCTTGAAGTCCTCAGCTCGGAGGCCGGGCAGCTCATACTCTTGGTTCAACACCATCTTGCGAAGGTTTGCTGCCATCGTGGTGTTGAGGTTGGAGATCAGCCTCTTCCCAGCGCCAATCTGCAAGAAATGTTCCCAGGCTGTGGCTGTGTAGGCGATGCGGGGGAGGGACCTGGGCTTCTCAGAGTTCAGCGCCATACAAGCTTGGCTCAAGGTGTCATCGGCAGGTGTCCAGTCGCGCACCTGAACTGTTAGCTTGGTGGAGAAACCGTGCAGGCAGGCTTTCAGGAGCTGCAAGTTCAGGGGGAGGCCGCTGTGGTGTTGCCGCAAGTCACTCACCTCATTGTCTGCGGACGCAGCCAGGACGTTGGCAAGGCTGCTGCAGTCTGCCGTCCAGTGCCTGTAGTCTGCGCGGCTCATGCATTCCACAAACTTACCCAGGGACCCGCGCACCCAAATGCTGCGCTTCATGAACAAAGACTTGTAGCTGCCGTTGGCTTCCTGCTCATCCGAGGTGAAGACTGCAAGCGGGTGCCAATATTTCCTCTTGGGTGACTTCACAGTGTCAGCATCGTAATGCACTTGCACCACCTGAACCTTGAAGTGGTTTGCGGTCTCCTTCAACTTCTCCAGGACAGCATTCTGCGCCTCCTCCACAGCTGCCTCTGGATCGGCGTTGCACAGCCTACCTGGCGGGGCATTCGGCAGCTTGCATATGCCGAGAAACGTGGCTGGGAATGTGGCGGCCTCCTTTGCCGCATCCTCGATCATTTCTGGGTAGAGCTGCGTGTGCGTGGGCCCCATAGCGCAGCAATCGATCATGTTCAGCCGCAGCATGGTGTGTTGTTCAGCGGCGGCCGTTCCTTCAGGGAGCGGCGCTTCAGCAGCTGTCCGGCCTGCTGCCTCCACAAACTTCCTCCATGATGGCCGGTGGATGGACACCGCCTTGCTGCGCCTGAGCTCTACCGTGGCAGCCTCATTCTCTGCGCGGGACATGCTGCTGGCCGTGTACAGCTGCTGGAGGTGCACCTCCAGCATGCTGCTGAGAGCCTGATGGGCCGCCTCCTTCCCCTCCATGCTTTACCTCGCACTGCTCCTCATGGGAGCTGATCTTGCTGACGTGTTGGGCGAACTCCGTGCGTGCTCCCTCCAAGCGCACCCTGATCAGCTCCAGCCTGAGCTCGCGACACAGCAATACATGTTCTGTCGCAGGACACACTATCTGGCACATGTGTTAAGGCTGTCAAGCAGCATAGCCTTCTGGCTGTTCCTGGTAGCTTCTGCCTGCGCTTCTTCTGCCTGCAGCGCCTGTTGATCACCAGATGCCATGCTCATGGCTTCCCTCAAGAAGCGTAGATGGGTCCTTGGCCGATACGTTGGGTCCATGGCCTTGGCTGAGGGGACCATGCTGCTGATCTTGCCACGCAAGAAGTCTTGGAGCAAGTGCTGCTGTCGCTCAGAAGACATGAGGGCGATCTGGTCCGGGCTGAACATGCAACAAGTCCTGTAGACAATTTCTGGCTCAGTGTCCCGAAACTTGTGCGCGACAGCGTCCATGGATGGGCGCTCTGACTTCTCGTAAGCTTCCTGCGCCCGCCAGCTGAAGGCCTCAGACAGCCGGTCCAGCCACAGCAACAGCTTCTCTTCTGCAGGGGCCGTCCGCTCCCGCCACTCCGCCTTCTCCTCTGACACTGTGGTCTCCATCAGGAAGCGCCCCTGCCCCTTAATGTCCAGGAACTCCGTCGGGACCGCGCTGTGGGCCACCTTCTCATCACCCCAGATGAGGCGGACCTTCTGCCGGATTGGCTCGGTTGTGAGGCAGAGGAAGGTCACCGCATTCTTCTCCACGGAGGACAGGCGTCCTGCTTGTGAGCGACCAGCAGCCTGGTCCAGCTTGCTAAGCTCTGCCTCAACCAGTTTGCGCAATGGCAGGTTGCTGCCCTGCCCCCGCTCAGCCACGCAGTTCGCGAGAATGGTCCTGTCACACAAGGTTACTGACCAACAGGCCTTAAGCGAGGCTGATCACTGACCTGCGTTTGACGCAGTCCTGGCCAGACGCAATGGAGTTGCCCTCGTCCTTTGTGTCACTTCGTTCTTCTTGACAATAGAGAGTCGCCGGCGCTTCGTCAAGTCCTTGGCATACACATAGCGGCAGGTCAAGAACATGCACTTGTACAGGTAGGGGGCCAAGGTCTGGAAGTATGGCTGCTGGTGCCACCCTCGCAGTGCAGCCACTGCCAGCACCATGTGGCACGCTGTGACGCACCCAGAGCCAGAATCAACACAAATGACACCATCCTGCAGCTCGACTCCAGCAGCGTCCTCAAAGTACACGACTATGGGGGACTCTTCGGAGTTGCAGCCCTCCCTGTCAAGTAAGAATGTGCTGCAGTCGATGACCTGGGGGACGGACGGCGCGAAGCGGCAGAACTTGTCTTCTTTCCAGCCAAGCTTTCTCCAGGCGACTGCGAAGCTGAAGGTCTCGTCTCTGGACGGGGCGGCAGGAATTATGGAGTGTGAGCAAAGTTTGTGGTGAATGCCAGGCCGTCACAGCATTCTCCAGCTCCTGCAAGCAGCTCTGGGTGTGTGGCTCTGCGAGAACATTGAGCAGCCACTGGTTGACATCTGCATACCGCGCTCGCCCAGAGGAATCCTTCAGCTCCTCACGCATGACAAGAAACGCAGCGCATCAAAACTTGCGGAAATTGAAATACGCTCAAACATGGTCCTGCTGCAAGTGAAGGATGACATCCCGACGGGCTTGCCCGAGTATGGAGTCCCTTTCTTCAGAAGGCTCAGGCACGGCCAGGGTTTTTCCCACTGAGATTGCAGTCATGGCAGAGGTCCCTAGATCCCCAGGTCCCCAGGCCCTGGAGTGGCTTGGCCAGCACACACAAAAAGAAGAACTGTCACACTTGCTTGAGCCCAGGCAAACATGTGGGAGCAAACTGCACGCGAGTATCAGCAGCGATCATTGGTTTTGCAAGCCCCTCTTCGGATGAAGCCCACCAAGCGCAATCAGAAAAACTGTCACATTCCTTGAGCCCAGGCACTTGCACCTGCAATGTCTCAAGCTGTGGAGCGTCACATGCAACGACTCAGACTGACACCGCCTTTATAACGTTCGCTGCTCTCACGCAAAATGCCAGAGTTACCAACGGCTGCTGCTGGTTTCCTGCGCAGCCCGGCTAGTGTCTCCAGGGTCCCCAGGGCCCCAGAACTCAACATTGAGAGCAGTTCCTCAGAAGATGGTGCACTCTGGACAGTGCACTCACTCTGCTCTAACCTTGCTGGCTGGCCTCTTTGCCAGCACTGCCGTGGCGGGCCGCTTCATAGCCTTCGGCCCACGCCCTTGAGCTGGCACGACACCAGGCCAGGCTTCTTCGGGCTCTGGCCCATTGAAGAGTCCATGTAGGTCAGCAAATTCTTGGGCAGCCTTGCCGAGGTCCTCACGACCCTTGCAGTGCTGAAAGAAAGAGCGCTGCATTTTCTGGCCATTCGACGGCAAGGAGTGAGAGCGGCGCACCAGCTCAACAAATACCTCCTCAAGCTCGTCGAGGCGGCTCTGGTTGGTAGGGTTGCGCCGGCGCCCAGCAAAGTTCGCACCCAAGAGTGGCGCCGGACGCAGCAACTTTCGAGTGCGCCACTTAACCTCATCGGGGGGGCTGGGAAGTTGCTCCGCATCAGCCAGCGAGAGGGCGCCTTTGTCTTGAATCGCAGGCTCAGCTGTGTCCTGAGGAAGTCCCTCACCACCGCTGGCCACTCGACCCTCCGTGTCCTTGCGGAAGCTGAGCAAGTGCTCCTCTTCAGCCATCTGCTCCATGGAAAGGTTGGCTTGGTCCTCAGCAGCGGGCTCCCGCACCAGGAGGGCGGAAGCCTCCTGCGTGGCCCAGGACTGTCCTGCCTCCGAGCCCACCTCCTCTGCAGCCTGCCAGGCAAGCTGTGCAGTAGCGCGCAATTTGTTAGTGGTGCCTCTGAGCTCACTCGGCTGTCTGCGCAGTGTTGCAAAGGTCCCAAGGGCCCAGGGCTGCTGCACTCATCATCCTGAAACTCCTGCTCTTCCTGCATAAGCGGGTGCTCGAAAAAATTATGGACTGCCACGCCTCCGCCATTTCCTCAATGAGCTCATCTCGAGCTGATGTGCCCGGCTCCTAGCGAGGCAATTCTTGCACTTCAAAGGGCAGCCAACGCGATCGCTCCTCTGCCACTTCCTCATGAATGAGTTCTGCGAGCTCATGTCCTCGAGCTGATGTGCCCGGCTCCTAGTGAGGCAATTCTTGCACTTCAATGGGCAGCCAACGCGATCGCTCCTCTGCCACTTCCTCATGAATGAGTTCCGCGAGCTCATGTCCTCGAGCTGATGCGCCCGGCTCCTAGCGAGGCAATTCTTGCACTTCAACGGGCAGCCAACGCGATCGCTCCTCTGCCACTTCCTCATGAATGAGTTTCGCGAGCTCATGTCCTCGAGCTGAGGCGCGGACAGCATTCTGCGCCTCCTCCACAGCTGCCTGTGGATCAGCGCTCTTGCACAGCCTGCCTGGGGCATTCGGCAGCTTGCATATGCCGAAGAAGGTGGCTGGGAATGTGGCAGCCTCCTTTGCCGCATCCTCGATCATTTCTGGATAGAGCTGCGTGTGCGTGGGCCCCATGGCGCAGCAATCGATCACATTCAGCCGCAACATGGTGTGCTGCTCAGCGGCTGCCGTTCCCTCAGGGAGCGGTGCCTCAGCAGCCGTCCGGCCTGCTGCCTCCATGAACTTCCTCCACGACGGCCGGTGGATGGACACCACCTTGCTGCGCTTGAGCTCGACTGTGGCGGCCTCGTTCTCTGTGCGAGACATGCTGCTGGCCGTGTACAGCTGCTGTAGGTGCACCTCCAGCATGCTGCTGAGAGCCTGATGGGCCGCCTCCTTCCCCTCCATGCGCTTTACCTCGCACTGCTCCTCGTGGGAGCTGATCTTGCTGACGTGTTGGGCAAACTCTGCACGCGCTCCCTCCAGGCGCACCCTGATCAGCTCCAGCCTGAGCGCACGACAAGGCAATGTGCCACAGGTTCTGTCGCAGGGAATGCTAATGCGTTAAGGGAAAGGACCAACTTAGTTAGATCGCAAGAGTCAAGCAGCATGGCTCTCTGGCTGTTTCTGGTGGCTTCTGCCTGCGCTTCTTCTGCCTGCAGCGCCTGTTGATCACCAGATGCCACGCTCATGGCTTCCCTCAAGAAGCGGAGATGGGTCCTTATACGTTGGGTCCATGGCCTTGGCTGAGGGGACCATGCTGCTGATCTTGCCACGCAAGAAGTCTTGGAGCAAGTGCTGCTGTCGCTCAGAGGACATGAGGGCAATCTGGTCCGGGCTGCTCTCCAGGAACATGCAACAAGTCCTGTAGACAATTTCTGGCTCAGTGTCCCGAAACTTGTGCGCGACAGCGTCCATGGATGGGCGCTCTGACTTCTCGTACGCTTCCTGCACCCGCCAGCTGAAGGCCTCAGACAGCCGGTCCAGCCACAGCAACAGCTTCTCTTCTGCAGGGGCCGTCCGCTCCCGCCACTCCGCCTTCTCCTCTGGCACTGTGGTCTCCATCAGGAAGCGCCCCTGCCCCTTAATGTCTAGGAACTCCGTCGGGACCGCGCTGTGGGCTACCTTCTCATCACCCCAGATGAGGCGGACCTTCTGCCGGATTGGCTCGGTTGTGAGGCAGAGGAAGGTCACCGCATTCTTCTCCACGGAGGACAGGCATCCTGCTTGTGAGCGACCAGCAGCCTGGTCCAGCTTGCTAAGCTCTGCCTCAACCAGTTTGCGCAATGGCAGGTTGCTGCCCTGCCCCCGCTCAGCCACGCAGTTCGCGAGAATGGTCCTGTCACACAAGGTTACTGACCAACAGGCCTTAAGTGAGGCTGATCACTGACCATGCGTTTGACGCAGTCCTGGCCAGACGCAATGGAGTTGTCCTCGTCCTTTGTGTCACTTCGTTCTTCTTGACAATGGAGAGTCGCCGGCGCTTCGTCAAGTCCTTGGCATACACATAGCGGCAGGTCAAGAACATGCACTTGTACAGGTAGGGGGCCAAGGTCTGGAAGTATGGCTGCTGGCGCCACCCTCGCAGTGCGGCCACTGCCAGCACCATGTGGCACGCTGTGACGCACCCAGAGCCAGAATCAACACAAATGACACCATCCTGCAGCTCGACTCCAGCAGCGTCCTCAAAGTACACGACTATGGGGGACTCTTCGGAGTTGCAGCCCTCCCTGTCAAGTAAGAATGTGCTGCAGTCGATGACCTGGGGGACGGACGGCGCGAAGCGGCAGAACTTGTCTTCTTTCCAGCCAAGCTTTCTCCAGGCGACTGCGAAGCTGAAGGTCTCGTCTCTGGACGGGGCGGCAGGAATGGAGGTAAGCAAAGTTGGTGGTGAATGCCAGGCCGTCACAGCATTCTCCAGCTCCTGCAAGCAGCTCTGGGTGTGTGGCTCTGCGAGAACATTGAGCAGCCACTGGTTGACATCTGCATACCGCGCTCGCCCAGAGGAATCCTTCAGCTCCTCACGCATGACAAGAAACGCAGCACATCAAAACTTGCGGAAATTGAAATACGCTCAAACATGGTCCTGCTGCAAGTGAAGGATGACATCCCGACGGGCTTGCCCGAGTATGGAGTCCCTTTCTTCAGAAGGCTCAGGCACGGCCAGGGTTTTTCCCACTGAGATTGCAGTCGTCGCAGAGGTCCCTAGATCCCCAAGTCCCCAGGCCCTGGAGTGGCTTGGCCAGCACACACAAAAAGAAGAACTGTCACACTTGCTTGAGCCCAGGCAAACATGTGGGAGCAAACTGCATGCGAGTATCAGCAGCGATCATTGGTTTTGCAAGCCCCTTCGGATGAAGCCCACCAAGCGCAATCAGAAAAACTGTCACATTCCTTGAGCCCAGGCACTTGCACCTGCAATGTCTCAAACTGTGGAGCGTCACATGCAACGACTCAGACTGACACCACCTTTATAACGTTCGCTGCTTTCACGCAAAATGCCAGAGTTACCAACGGCTGCTGCTGGTTTCCTGCGCAACCCGGCTAGTGTCTCCAGGGTCCCCAGGGCCCCAGAACTCAACATGGAGAGCAGTTCCTCAGAAGATGGTGCACTCTGGACAGTGTACTCACTCTGCTCTAACCTTGCTGGCTGGCTTCTTTGCCAGCACTGCCGTGGCGGGCCGCTTCATAGCCTTCGGCCCACGCCCTTGAGCTGGCACGACACTAGGCCAGGCTTCGCTGTGGCCCATTGAAGAGTCCATGTAGGTCAGCAAATTCTGGGGCAGCCTTGCCGAGGTTCTCACGACCCTTCCTGAAAGAAAGAGCGCTGCATTTTCTGGCTATTCGACGGCAAGGAGTGAGAGCGGCGCACCAGCTCAACAAACACCTCCTCAAGCTCGTCGAGGCGGCTCTGGTTGGTAGGGTTGGGCCGGCGCCCAGCGAAGTTCGCACCCAAGCCGGACGCAGCAACTTCGAGTGCGCCACTCAACCTCATCGGGGGGGCTAGGAAGCTGCTCCTCATCAGCCAGCGAGAGGGCGCCTTTGTCTTGAATCGCAGGCTTAGCTGTGTCCTGAGGAAGTCCCTCACCAGCGTGAGTGAGCACTCCTCCTCCTTGTGCCTTGGCTTTCCTTTCTCTTAGCCTGCCTTGCCAACTTGCACTTCATCTTTTCGATGGCCAGCTGCTTCCTCAGCAGTGGGCTTCTGCACCATCACGAGAATGGAAGTCTCCTGCGTGGCTTACAATCCTGGTCCTGGCTGTTGCAGTGTCCTGCCTCCAACCTGCCAGGCAATCGAGCAATTCGTCCGTCCTGCCTCCAAGGTCACTGGGTCCTCTCTCTGTAGAGGGGGTTTTCCAAATGGCTCATATTCTACCTGAGAGGCTTCTAGCACTCGTCCGTCCAGCATTTGACCTCGTCCTGCGAAGGATTCGAAGTCTAAAACGCTGCGTGCAGGCGTGTGGCTGCAAAATAGAGACCCCTAGATATGCTTGCAATTTGGCTCCAGGTTGCATTTCAAGCGAGCCAACCTTTGCAGGGCTAAGAAAAAAAAAAAAAAAGAAAACAAGGGGTCCAAAAAAAAGGGGTCCCCGAAAAAAAGGGAAAAGGGGTTTCCTTTGGCAAAGCTTGACATCGCTTGAAATGCAACCTGGAGCCAAATTGCAGCGCATATCTAGGGGTCTCTATTTTGCAGCCACACGCCTGCACGCAGCGTTTTAGACTTCGAATCCTTCGCAGGACGAGGTCAAATGCTGGACGGACGAGTGCTAGAAGCCTCTCAGGTAGAATATGAGCCATTTGGAAAACCCCCTCTACAGAGAGAGCTAGCGTTTCTTGCCGCGCCACCTGCCCGGTATCGGAGCCTAATTGCTTCAACATGTCGGGTTGACATGTTGAGGCTTGGCACTCCGGGTGCGCCTCCCGGCCGCGCCATTTGCCCGGCATTGAAGCCGCGCCAAGCCGCTGAACATCCACTCTCCCCCGCGTCCTTGCTATATGTGCTATATGTGCTATATCTTACACGCCAAGCCGCGGAACCTCCACTCTCCCCCGCGTCCTTGCTATATGTGCTATATGTGCTATATCTTACACGCCAAGCCGCTGAACCCCCACTCTCCCCGTGCTATATACTCTGTACGCGCGAAATCTGTACTATATGTGCTATATAGGGCCATATAGCACATATAGTACATATAGCATGGAACCCGGGGAGAGTGGATGTTCAGTGGCTTGCCTTGTGAGATATAGCACATATAGCACATATAGCAAGGAACCCGGGGAGAGTGGATGTTCAGTGGCTTGCCTTGTAAGAGCCATATAGCACATATAGCACGTATAGCAAGGAAGCCGGGGAGAGTGGATGTTCGGCGGGTTGCTCCGTACGCGCAGGCTGTGCAAGTGGCATGCAGGCCACAGTGGAGGGACTGTTGTGGCGTGTAGCCAAGGCACTTTTGAGCAGTGGCTCGCCCCAACGGCTCCACTAGCGCGCCGGCCGCGCCTGCCCGGCATAGCCCTGCCGAGCCCAAGAATTCTTCCCAGCAAAAAAATGTCGAGGTTGTCTAAGCCGACTGCGAAAAATTTTTCCAGTGGTCCTGTGGGGGGACAACTGTCCAAAGTTTCGGCGAACCTGCCCGGCATAGCCCGGCCTGCCCGGCATAGAAGCCTCCCGGGCCGCGCCACCAGCATAGAAGCCTCCAGCCTGCCTGCACCAGGGAATTTGAATTGAATGATATTATCCTTCAATTCCTGGTGGTAATCCGCGTGATTAGGGGGGTGGTATGTCTGACATACCACCTTTTCAGAGAGGTCTTGGTGAACTTTGCTGAAGGAGCTCAAACGGTGAGCTCCTTCAAATTCGCAGGTCAAGTGAAAGCTAAAACCTGTCACTTCAAATTCCCCGGCCCAGGGCGCCATTCCACCCCCGTGGCCGCCCTGCGCACCACCCTGCTCGTGGTCCTGCGCCTCAGGAGCGGCAAATGCGCACAACATGCTGCAAATGACGCCCAGACTGTCATTACCACTCATTCTGAAGTGTACGACCATATCGTACACTTCAAATTCCCTGGCCCAGCACCAACTACGAAGCAGTGGCCGATTTCGCCGGCCCCTGGCTCCATCGTGCGCAGGTCTCGCTTTTGACCGGCAAAATCGGTCAAATCAAATTGAGTCACATCCGAAAAAAACCCTGGTGCGGGCCTGGTGCGGGCTCCAAGACCGAAGCCGCGGAGCCGGCCTCGCTCTCAAGGTCGCCCACGGACTGTGACACGTGCGGAAACTTGCGCCGAAGAGGGGTTGGTGTGACACCAACAAGCGTGAGGGAGGTGTGTCAAAAACAAACACACTACCCCGAATCACATCTCCGAACGGCCGGAATGCCACGAAGGACCTGTGAGGGCGCGCTAAAGTACAACACCCCTGCGTTATAGACCTACTCCTAAGAAAACATGTTTGAAGGACCTGTCACCGGCAACATCCCGGAGGTCCTGGACAACGGAGAGGTGACTGACGGCACGCACGTCACCGCAGGGCAGCTGGCCCTCGCTCTGACGCCGTACGCTCAAGTAACGGAACTGGCGGTGAACACGGCAGCCGCCGGCAACAACGCGGCGGCCATCCAGTCCCTGGACGACAGAGTCACCGCAGAGCTGGCCTCCAAGCTGGACAGCAGCGCGCTGGCGCCGGCAATTGCGCCTCTTGCCACGGCGGCGGCCCTGGCCACCACGGACGGGCAGGTAGCCGCGCACGGAAGCAGCATCGCAGCGCTGCAGAGCTCGCTGACCACGGGTCTCTCCAACAAGGCAGACCAGTCGGCCTTCGACGTGCTGGAGGGCGTGGTGGCGACGAAGAGCACCCCGGACGGCGTGGACCTGAAGCTTTCCAACTACAGCACCACGGCGGCCATGAACGGCTCCATCGCCTCGGCCAACAACGCCACGCTGGCCACGGTGGCCGCCAACTACGGCCTCAAGACGGTGGTGGACCTGCACTCCCTGGACATAGCGGCGAGGATCACGCCGCTGGAGGTGGACACCAAGGTGGCCAACGCTCTCCTGGGGGCCGTCACCGCCGCGGCGCTGGCCTCCGAGCTCGCGAGCAGAGACGCCTCCATCTCGGGGCTGCAGGCCTCCAAGGCGGACGCCAGCGCCCTGACAGCGTACGCCCTGCAGTCTAGCGTCGACACTTCCTCGGAGGTGGACTCTAAGATAGCAGCGGCCCTCCTAAACGCAGTCACCACGGCGGCCCTGGACGCCGCCCTCCTCGGCAAGGCGGACGCCAGCGCGCTGGCCTCCCTGCTCTCCACGGTGGACGGGTTGGACACGCCGCTGGAGGTAGACACCAAGATAGCAAATGCCCTGCTGGGTCTCGCCACCGAGGCCTTCGTCGCAGCGCAGCTTGCTAGCCGGGACGCCAGCATCACGGCGCTCCAGGCCTCCAAGGCCGACGCGGCGCTGCTGGCCTCGTACGCCACGAACGCCGCGCTCTCCGCCAGCGAGACCGCGCTCCAGAGCGCCCTCGACGCAATCCTCGCGGAGCTCGCCGCCCTGCAGCTTTCCGGCAGCGGAGTTGTTAACGCGCCGGCCTGGGCGGGCTTCACGACTTGGGAGCTCCTTCGCGGAAGCAACGTCGTTCGCAACCTGCATTTCGTGGCTCCTCTCTCTGCTGCGCTGGCCAACGGCGACGACACGCTGAGCATCACGGCAGACTGCTACTCCGTCGCAGCGGCGGACGCTGCCATAACAGCAGCCTTGCTGGCCTACTACACCTCCTCACAAGTGGACACTCTGTTGGACGACTACCGCACCGGAACGGCGCAGGACGCGGAGACGACCAGCGCCATCACGGGCGCACTGCTGGCCTACTACACCGCGGCGCAAGTGGACGCGTTGTGGGGAGACTACCGCACGGCGAGCGCGCAGGACACGCAGACGCAGGCCGCCATCGCGGGCGCGCTGCTGGCCTACCGGACGGGCCCGGACCAGGACGTCTTCACAACCAACCAAATCACCTCGGCGCTGGTGGCGTACCGCTCAGCCGCAGACCAGGACACGGCAACGGCCTCAAGCATCGCCGCCGCGCTGCTCAGCTACTACACCATCGCGCAAGTAGACGGCCTCCTCGCCGGCAAGCTCGGAGTCACGGAGGCGGCCTCTGCGCTGCAGATAGCAGCGCGCTTTCCGGACGACGGAGGGGCCGACGAGGTGGTGGCCGCCGTAGGAGAGCAGACCCTGGCCCCCACGGACGTCTCGCTGTCAAACTGGACGGTTCGCCCCAGCAGCGGCTGCAGCGTGGTCTTGGCCACGCACACCGCGGGAGTGAGCGTGGACGGCTACACCCTGACCCTGGCGGTGAACCCGTGGAACATCGTGCGCACCTACAACTTGACCCCGGGCCGAGAGCTCCTCTTCGCCTGCCGCTACCGGCTCGGCACGGTCTCCAACTTCGTGGTGTACATGTCCGAGGCAGACAACGTCTACGACCCCCTGTACGGCAGCTTCGTGGGCGACCAGGGCGCCTGGAGCACGGCCAAGATGTACTTCACCGTGCCGCCCAACGGGGTGGCAAAGCTGCACTTCGGGGCGCACTTCCAGGCGCCGGGCCTGCCCAACCAGACGGCCGGAACGGTGGACGTCTACGGCCTCCAGATCCTGGACGCAACCCTGGAGACCGGCAACACGGAGGAGGAGGACACGGCGGCCTCAGCCCTGCTGCTGAAGCACGAGTTCCTCGACGGGGGGGCCGACGACGTCACGCTGGCAACCCTGGGCGAGGTGCTGCTGGAACCCACGCTCACCACGCTAGGAACTTTCCTGGTGCGCTCCAACAGCCAGAGCTCCGTGGCCTCGGCCAGCTTCACGGTGGGAGGCTTCCAGCTGGAGGGCTACGCCATGACCCTGAGCGACTTCGCCTGGAACATCGTGCGCACCTACACGCTGACGCCGGGGAGACGCTACTCCTTCGGCTGCCGGTACAGGCTGGGCACGGCCTCCAACTTGGTGA